TGCATTCCAGACCCCAGTAAACCAGATTATAACATTCTTCCTCCACCCCCAACCCCCCCCTCTCCATCCACCAACTCCCTCATGGAGGGTGTGGGTGGGGGAATTGTGGGGGGTGAGTGGGGAGAATGTTATAATCTGTGAAATGTGTTAGCTCGGAGAAAACGGTCTGAGGCTGGCACTTTCTCCGCTGAGTCACTTAACGTCAGCCACTTTGGAGCCAATGCTGTTTATTGCTGGCTCTGTGGTCTTCCCCAGTGAGTGCTTGTGGTGATAAGAGGCTGAGGCTTGATGATGGGATCGGCTATCTGCACTATATGTGGCTCTCACAGCTCCTGTTCCTGCTTACTCCACTCACGAAGCAGAGGGCACGATATCAGGAGCTCAGCCTATTGACTATGTGCTGTGCACTTCTCAAGGCTTAATTTCCCGGATCTTATTTGACTAAAATAGAGACAGAAGCAGCTCATTATCAGAGGAACCTAGAGCCACAGGAAGGACACGGTGAAGGTTCATGCACAGGACGCCAGCAATAAGGAGTTAAGCAAGTTATAAAGATAGGCTTGAAGTATTTGAAGGGATTATTACCCACGGAAAGCAACCACCAATCGACTAATAACCGGGTTCCTACTTACTGCTGGGTAAACAGAGTTATGTGGAGTAAGGAAACGTGCCTAAGGTTTCACCCCTTCGGGGTCCTCTCGCTTGCGAGGCGAGCGCGCTAACCACTGCGCTTACGGGGGCTCCGACAATTGGCAGAACCGTCAAGAAAAGCAAAATGCCGAATCCTTAAACTCGAACAAGTGCAGAAAATCAGCGTTTGGAGAAACTCGAACGAAAGCTTGGAAAGAAGAGTCAGTTATTCTCTGGGCGAGGAAACCAATTCAATGACCAGCGTTGACCGGCTACACATAAAAACGCTGCCCATTAGCCAAGCCAGCGAAAGCCTAAAAGCCCAACCGTTAAAAAAAAAGAAGAATTCTCTCCTCTCCGAGATATTTGTTGGGCAGAATGGAATGTTTTCATAGCGTGGCTTCAGTCACAGTACAGCCCCCGCTTCCATTACAGCAGTCTCGCTCCAGGCCTGTTTACATTACGGCCCCAGAGAGAGAACGAGAGTCAGTTTGAGTGGAGCTGTTGACTTGTCCTCTGAGCTTCCCAGTGAGGTAACGCCGTTGGGATGTGAAGAGTGAATCCAAATGCAGAGCCAATCAGAGGGGGGGTGGGGGGGGTCAGGTCACCATAGAACATGCATACACGTGTGTAGATAGGCACTATCCATGTGCACCACTGGTGATTTCTGCAGAGGAGTCCTGTAACATGGTGGTTAGAGCACTCGCCTCGCAAGAGAGAGGACCTGGGTTCCATCCCGGGCAGGTCAGGGCGAAACCTCACTCCGCACACCTCTGTTTACCTAGCAGTAAGAAAATAATGATCCGTCAAAAAAAAATGCGGTCACTCAATCCACGACTTTTGTGGGGGAGGCTGCTGTGCGCAATTGGCTGCCGGGTTTCGCCCCAAAAAACACCCGGTCACTCCACTTCACAATATCCTGTGAAGCGCTTTGAAACGTCTCAACGACGTGAAAAGGCGCTGCATCAAATGCGAGGATCGTTATTATTGTTATTATTAAATAATCAATTTAAAAACAAAATTCAAAACCCAAGTGGAAATGTTTCAACAAACTAGAGTTTATATTATTATTATTATTGTTAGTATTTGTATCAGTCAGACTCTTTCACGAATGTCCATAGTTTATTTCGAGCCAAGCACTTCACAGGATCTTTGTTCGGAGTCCAGGTGGTCCTGTGCTGATTAAACAGTGGTATTCACACTGAAATGTGAAGCCATAAAAGGACTGAAACCTGACACACAACACAACACCACACAAGAATGCAACTCGAGTGATTGACGCCCTTTATCAACAGAAGTCAAATAGCTGTCCTTGTAACATCCCTTTACCTTGCGCTTTCCTCCAAATCCTCTCAAAATGAGTTATGATAATCCTTGTGTTTGCCACCACGTAAGGGGGACATGTCACCGCTTCACACGATTTACTGTAAAGTGTAGTGACTGTGGATTTTGATGGTGAACTTGGGAACCAAACACCTGTGAAGTGAATAACGAATGTTGTCGGCCAGCAACAAACTCCCTTCACTCTGATCGTGCTTTCACTTATTAAATAATAACCCACCCCGGGACATTTGTTGTCAATAATAATAATCTTTGCATTGGTATAGCGCATTATCAAAGCGCTTCGCAGGATTTACGGCAAAGCGGATTGACGAGGCATTTTGTAAGCAGAGCAATTGTGCACAGCAGTGTCCCACAAACAGCCATGAAACGAGTGACCAATTTTATTGGGGGGGATTGTTGGTCAGGGCACCGGGAGAGGGAAACTCCCTTCTCTTTTCGAATAGCGCCATTGGAGCATCAGCTTAGACTAAGTGAGTTCAAGTCCCCACGTGGGATTTGAACCCACAACCATCTGACTCAGAGGAGGGAGAGAGAGAGCGCTACACACTGAGCCGGGCTGACGCACACACAAGGATTATTATTATTGTCACTGTGAAGCGCTGTCCACTCTCAGAGTTGTGGTTAGAAGCCAAAGATTTGCAAAGAGCATACGGCACGGAAACAGGCCAATCCGCCCGACCAGATGATTGTGTTTACACTCCACACGAGTTCCCACCCTCTCCTTTGCTCTCTCCCAAACCCTTCTATTCCCCTCTCCCTCAGGTGGAGGTGTAGCTCCCACTTGTTTCCATCTGCACTATCTGATTCAACCATCGCTTCAGGCAGCAAGTTTTTTCTTCTTTCAGAGACGAGTCAAGCAGGAGGCGGAGAGCAGGTCAACAAACCTTATTAAAAACATAACAAGGAGACGTGAGATAGAGCAGGACATTGGAGAACACAGCTCCGTGCAGAGCGAGAGAGAGAGAGAGCTCCAGCACAGGCCAGCGAAGCCTCCTGTGTTGTGACTGAAATGTGTAGTGACTGTGGATTATAAGGATATTAGATGAATCATAACGTCTGATAATCCACTACTTTGTTTCTTAAGAGAAATTTACAGAAAACAGGCTTCAAAAGTAAGACTGTAGTTAATAATAATAATAATCCTCGCATTTGCTATAGCGCCTTATCACGCCTTCGAGACGTCTCAAAGCGCTTCACAGGATACACTGTAAAGTGGACTGACTGTATATTTTGTGGGAACTTGCCAAATATTCCAAATTCTGGCAGCTGAAATGTCATTAAAATGGAGTAAATCTAGACAGGGTGGAATTTCTCCCTGGGGGAGGGAGGGGGTGGGTGGGTGGGTGGGGGGAGAATCATTTGCATTGCTAATATCCACTGTGTAAAAAGCTGGCAATCTGCTCAAAATCACAAGTGTCTCTTGCACGGTTGTGGAGTCAAAGTGACTCTGTCGAAACAACTACATCCACACAGCGCCTTTCGCATCGGAAGGACGTCCTAATGCGTTGGGAAATGGGGATTACCCCCTTCCCCTCCACCACCGGCTTAGCCCCCACTCCCTTTCCTCCCCTCCCACCGCCCCCCCCACACACACACACACACAGCTTCACAACAGACAGTTTGTCAGATAATGTTGCCCTTGGAATCATTGTAAAGCACACGTGGCAGTGGAATATTTGGCTGAACTGAACATCACAGTCTCTCTCCACATGCCTCACTCCCACGATACAGTGCCGAACTGGCACACAGCAGGGCTGGCTGGTCTGCGCTGGTAGTGACGCGAGGTTGGCACGGGTCTCTCTCTCTCTCTCTCACCTCCTCTTCCTCAGTTTGATTTGTTTAACAGTTTAAAGACCTTTTTTTGCAAAACACTTTTGAGCTGGTTACAGGATTCAGTAAAAATCAGACAACCAGGAGGAGATGTTATCAGCTGAGCTGAGAGTCAGACTCCTGCTCACCATCGCTCCTCTTTTTTGTTGGGGGTTGGGGGGAAAGAAGGAGGATGTGGCCACATTCCCCCCCACCCCCCCGGAGCTGTGGATTCACGACAGAGAAATCGAGGCAATGACATTTGCCTGAACACACCCACACCAGTCTATCAGTAGCAAAGCTCTCTCCAACCCGCCCAGTAAATGGTTTCACTGACTAAAAATGACCCATTATTCACCTGATTTGTTGTTGTTGTTGTTGTAATAATAATCCCTGCATTTGATACAGCGCCTTAGCGCGTCGTCGAGACGCCTCAAAGAGCTTCGCAGGATGCACTGTAAAGTGAATTGACTGTGCATTTTGTGGGCGAAATGCAGCAGCCGATTGCAGACAGCAGAGTCCCCACACACAGCCGTGGTTGAAGTGAGCAAATTATCATTATTATTGGAAAGGATTGTTATCCCTGGAAAGCAATCCGTCAATCTACTCGCCCACAAAATATACAGTCAATTCCCTTTACTGTGCATTCTGTGAAGCCGTTTGAGACGTCTCGAAGACGTGAAAAGGCGCTGTATCAAAGGCAAGGATTATTATTATTATATTTGATATAGCATTTGATATAGCGCTTTTCACGTCAGGAGGACGTCCCAAAGCGCTTCACAGAACACACTGTAAAGTGAATTGACTATATTTGTGGGCGAACGCGGCGGCCAATTGCGCACAGCAATGTCCCACAAACAGTCGTAGATTGAAAATTATATTAATTATTAACAACCGGGTTCCTACTTACTGCTCAGTAAATAGAGGTGCGTGTGTGTGCGTGTGTGTGGGCAGGAAGGAAACTTGCCTAAGATTTCGCACCTTCCAGGAATGAATCCCGGGTCCTCTCGCTTTGCGAGGCGAGCGGTCTAACCACTAGGCTATTGGGGACACTCCGCATTTAAAATTTCCTAGATTCCCCCTCGCTCTCTCTCTTTCTCCCTCCTCTTCCTCCTCCTCACTACTCACACTCTCACCACACAGACACTCACACAACCCGTTTGAGCGCACATGGGGTTTAGGTCATGGGAAATATGAGAGTCTTGGAATAAGGCAGAAGAAGGCAGGAACACCCATACCATCACGTCATGGAGCTAAGGAACTGGGGTGGGAGTGAAGGAACAGGACAGGACAGGACAGGACAGGCTGCTGAGCTGGGAACACACAGTCCACAGTGGGACTCTGTGAGATAACACGTGTAACACACCCCCCCAGAGTCAGGGAGAGTTGGGGGCGACAGCATCATTAGGTGAGGTGGTTAGTGACTGAGTGAGAGAGTGACTGTGTTTGCATTGCACACACACACACACACACAGAGCCTCTGCTCAGTCTGCACTGACTGCCACTGATTTGAGTGGATCTCACTCACAACCCTGTCCTGTGGTCCCTGCAAACCCTCTTGCAAAGCATCGCCTGCGATGTCAGGAAGGTAAGAGACAACTATTTTTTTTTTGGGGGGGGACTTAAATTCTGAAAGTGGGGTTGGGGGGAAATCCGAGGTTTGCAGCTGAGAGTGCTGGTAAAGCCCAGTAAAGCACTCGAGTTATTTCAAGGCTACTTTTCCCCATCACAGCTGCTCCTCACTTGCACCAGCTCTCATGCACAAGTACAGTGAATGCACTGTATTTATTTCTTTGTTTGTTTATTGGGGCAGAGTATTTAATGTGTGGGGCATTTTTTTGGGGGGTTTCCAACCCCTATTAAAAGCGATTTGAACAGCCCAACCTTCTCTGAAGAGTCTTTGTTTGGTTGCAGGGAGACTGCAAAGTGGTCTGGCTTGTTCCTGGGTTAATTGTTGAGGGGGGTGTATGTGTGTTTGAGGGGAGTGTGTGCTTATAAATATATATATGTGTATATATATATGTGTGTGTGTGTCTCTCATGTGCCCGTCAAAGAGCAATTTTGATGAAAAGTTGAAGTTCTGACCTTCTGCCTTCTTCTGACCTGAACTTCACTGAAATATATATTAAAAAAGTGTCAAACAAAGTGTTTCATATTCAGTGTTTTACCCCCAACATTATTTCAGCTTCACCTGATTCCAGGTTTACTTTTGCTCTCTGACTCTCTGTGTTGCTGACTTTTTGAGTTAAATCACCTGAGAAAGGGGGTGGGGGGGGGAGAGAAGAAGCAAAGCCCCAATTGTGTGGGTTTAATGAGAGCAGTGATTCCTTGTCCCAGGGAAAAGTCGCCTGTTTCCAATCTGCGATGCAAGCGAGAGACACAATTGACCATGCACAAAACCCGGCTTCCGTTTTAAACCCAAGACCCAGTTGGGCTGATTGAAAAAAAAACCTCCAAATGCTCCTTTGAAATCCTAAACCACTTCCTCAACACATCGCAGAAGGCGAAAGAAAAAAACCCTCCTCCGACTGTAGACATCGAAACTTGTGGTTAATTCAGGTTCCACACACACTGTGCTGTGAGCTGTGTGGAGCCAGAGCCTGGGCTGGACTGTATATTTCTATTGGTGAATACAGAACATCTGTCCAGCTGTTGAGAAAGGAAAGAGCAACTGAGAAGCAAAGTGAGAGATCAACAGCAAAGGGCAAGTTGTACAATGTGATTTCTGAATGTTAATGTTCCGCTGTGCGCAATCGGCTGCCGTGTTTCGCTCACAAAATATACAGTCAATTCACTTGACAGTGTATCCGGTGAAGCGCTTTGAGACGTCTCGAAGACGTGATAAGGCGCTGTATCAAATGGAAGGGTTATTATTATTATTGTCTGAGCTGTTTTGAATCGCTCATTTTGGATGCCAGGTAACTAGCCACTTGCATTTTTATAAAGAATATTGTCTGGATTTAGTCAATATTGCCTTCAGAACTGACTCGCTTTCACATATTCTGCACTTTATTTTCTGGGCAATTTCTTTCTGGCAATCTCTGTGGGACTGTAGTGTTGGGTAGACTATTTATTGGTGCTTTCTTTGTTTTTCCAGATTTCTGTTACCTTTTGAATGTATTTACATTTTTTTAATATAAAGATTATGTTGATGCCTTTGTAAGGTTAAAGTTGCAGTGAAGGGACTGTCTTGTTAACACCATAAAAGAAATATATCCCTGGCTAAGGGATATTTTTTCTCCCAGTGTTATGTTCTGTCACACCCTGTGCAATCCAAGATACATTACATTAATTGATTCAACCTGGATGTTCAAGAAAATACAGTTTTCTGTTATCGTTTAAAAGAAACAAAAATGCAAGCGTAATGTAGGTTTAAATTCAAATTTTTCCTCCCCCCCCAAAAAAAACTTTTAATAGTGCTCTTGCATTTGATTTATTTAACATAATTTATATTTAAAAATATACCTTTTGGATTACTTGAAGATTTAACCCGCAGCAGGACAGCCTGTGTGCCAAAGCAAGGATCTACAGTAAAATTCACAATAGTCTGATCTTTTTAACCGTATAATCACCCATTGAATAAGTCTGTTGAATTTCCTAATATTAATAAGCTTCACATAACTCGTACTTTGCATAAGTCATATTAAATGTATGGTCCCAACTCAAACGACGTTGTGAGGCTCACTGTAGAAGGGACGGAATGATGTGAATTGCATTACATTACCGAATTGCAGTGAATACTTGTACTCATTGATGAAAGCCACCTGAATGAGTTAAATCTGCACAATAAAACATTGTAAGGATTGGAATTAAACCCGTTTCCGCTCGTTCCCATAGCGATGCGTTCGAGAAATAGTTCAGCTCTTTTAACAGAAACTGATTGCCAGATTGTAGTTAATAAGATGAAGGAAATCACCGCTGTTTAATTCCTCTGTACGGCACGTGAGTATTTGCCTCGAGTCTCTGTGCCTGAAAGGACTGTCTATAAAAAGTTACTAAATTTGGAAGCAATTACTTATTGAAATGATCAGGTGCTGTAAAAAAAACACACACACACACACACAATGCTGTATGTGTGATCCTTGCCCGGGAGCGTATTAGACCTGTTTGGTTTTGCAAATATTAAGACCATCGAGGGAACGAGGACAAATGATGGGATCCATTCAGCTAAGAATGTCTCTGAACCATTAAAAGGCTGACCAGCCAAAGCAAACACGAGCAGTCTTGCTTGTGAGTTAGTGCAGACATAAATGGGGTTTTATGACGTGTAGATGTTTATTTTCTGAAATGTAATCATTTTTTAACAAAAACCTTGAGTCTTGCGGGTTAGCGAGTCAGTACTAATTGCGAAACATCTGGAAAATGCAATGATTCCAGCGGTTCAACTTCCAGCCATCGGCCGGCCGTGAGAAATTGCCATTTGCAATATACGCCCCGAAACTCTGGAACACTCTCTCTCTCTCTCCCTCCCTCCCTCCGCCTTTCCCCTTCCTTCCCCATCTTCAGTTTGCGCTTGAAGAACCTCCCCTTCCACCCTGCCTACGGTCACCTCCCCTGCCCCCACCCCCCCGGCTCAGGGTCAGGTTCTGCCACTGTCGAGGGCTCTGGGATACTACCCTACGTGAGGGGCGTGGTGCAAATGCAAGTTGTTGTTGTTGCAATTGGCTTCTTTCTACGGATAAATTCGAGGGAAAGCACCTTTCAATACTGCTGTCAATTTGCAGAAGCACCAAATTAGTTCAGCAAATGCAGTGAGTCAAGTGAGCGAGGTATTCTAACGCAGGAATGGTAGCTTGATTTGTGTGCTGTGGAGAAGCCAAGTCTTGCATAGTTTTGAGTTATTCCCTGAGGTTCTGTTAAATGGGCTTCATCAGAACTTCAATTGCACTGCCAAATACTTGGCTCTTGTCCCATGGATCAAGTCTGTTCTTATTTTTGAGAGGAAATTTCACTCAGTGAAGACCACTTGACAAATCTTCACCCCAACCCCGACAGCCAACTCCAACCACCCCACAGACAACCTCCCTACTCTTGACAGACAACGCCCCACCACTCCCCATTCCTTCCTCACCCCCCACCCCACCCCCAGAAAAATTCCTTAACAGTTTATTCTCTCTTCCCTCCCAATTCCCAGGCTTATGAAGAGAAGACAAAGAAATAAGTTGGAGTTTTGGAATTAGGATCTTTGTCGTGCGAATCTCTTTGCTGTGTGCGTGAGTGAGTGAAACTCCTAACCAAGCCATGGCTACAGAGCGACCGGAGATGGCAGCCTTATTGAGTCCCAGACTTTGGTTCTCACTGCTAATAATCTGGGCTAGCAGATGCCTGGCCCAAAAGGACTGCACTGGCGTTGACTGCCCCATGTTGGAAAATTGCATTGAACAGGAGCTGGAGGTTGGAGCCTGTTGCTCAACATGTGTGACCTATGGCTGTGAGTGTGAGGGTTATCAATACTACGACTGCATTAACGGGGGCTTCAGGAATGGGAAGGTTCCTGAAGGCTCCTCATACCTGGTTGACTACGGGAGCACCGAGTGCTTGTGCCCCCAGGGTGGGGGCAGGATAAGCTGCCGTTTCATCCTCTGCCCCGAGCTGGCCGCCAACTGCATCCAGGTGCTGGAGCCGGCAGACGGCTGCCAGCAGTGTGCCCAGGTGGGCTGCCTCCACGATGGGCAGAAGTACACGGCTGGGCACACGTTCCACATGCCCCCTTGTAAGGTCTGCCACTGCCCCAACGCGGGGGGCGAGCTGATGTGCTACCCGTTCCCCTACTGCAACGACAGCGGAGAGGACAAGGCGGTGGCTGCGGCCGGTGAGAGCGAAGAGGCGGTGAAGCATTATGATGATCCGTACAGCTTCGACCAAGAGTTTTCCCTGGAAAATGACCACTATCCCAAACCGCCACCCAAACAGCCCAAAGAGATTGACCTGTTGAACAGCAGCAACCAACACAAGCCCGAGACCAGGGACTTCCCAACCGAGGAGGACTATTACAAGGAAAACCATATCCCGGCCATGCTTCCTGACGTTTTTCGCACCACGACTGAACCAAACACCATTGATGCGATCCCAGTTGATACAACCGCCCAGCCCGTCACTTTTATGAATCGACTTGAAGGTCTTTGGCGGAGGCAAGAGGAAGAGGAGATAACCGAGCCAAGCGAGGAGGGCACGAAGAAGACCAGAGAGGGAGAGACGAGAGAAGATGAAATGATCGAAGAAGACCAGAAGTTTGAAGACCAGAAGTTCAAAGCCTATGATGTTGAAGAGGGAGAAAAGTCACCTGTCTTCCCTACAGTCAAGTTTAGCTTTCCGATACAGCCTCCCGTGGTGGTGAAGGAGGATGACAATGCTGTGCCAAACAAACAGCCTCAAACTCTCCTCATTTATCCCTTCGATGAAGAGCAATCGATTCCCGTCACTCGCCTGGAACCGGGCTTGAATGAAGGTAAGACTATGGAACCGGGATGACACAATGCCTAATAACTAGTTTATATTCCAGGCTCCGGCTGAGATGTGGATTGACCAGGGCATCGAAATTCCAGCCAGTCTTAGTCTGTGCCACCCCATGGCACTTAAAATGTGAGATTGTGCAAAGGTCTTCCATCCAGTCTTAAATTGGAAGGTGGTTCCTTATTGAGAACAGCGGAAACGTGGCATCCAAATTAAACTGTGGATTAAAGAAAGGTCCGCATTTTTATATCTGAAGACAAAATGGTCTCACAGGCTGAGACTGCCTGGAATTTGAGCCCTCCAGCTGTTTTGGAAATAGAAATGGAGGGAGCGGGTGGAAAGCCACCCCAGGCTTCTAAGGCCTGATCCCTGCTGACCAAGAGCAGTGTCGATGGCATGTGAGGAATGTCCCAGGCTGGGTTTTTACACGTTCCCCAATAATGGGCAGTCTAGATCAGACTGATAACTTCAGGAGTTGGGGCGTGAAATTGGGAACAAAGTGGCAGAGCTGAGCTCAGTAAAGCCAGGGCCAAAACTAGTGCAAATCGATTCTTGATGGTTTCTCCTTCTTTCCAGGTCAGGCCTTCAGCCTCTCTGCCCCTACCCGTTGGAACTCCATCCCACATTCCCATCGCCTCACTTCCTTCCCTTGCCTCCTTCTCAAGACCCTCCTCTTCGACCATGCCTTCGGCCAACCTTCTACCCGCCCTGCCCTGCAGCTTCCCTTACCCCAACACATCCATGACTGTCAGGCCCCTTGGGATATCCTCCCAACGTGAAGGGCGCTCCACAAATGTAATTTTGTATTGTAATTGTTGGCAGGTAACAAACCCACCCAGCAAGCTCAAGCCGTCAAGTCCATTTCCCCTCTCCTGTGTCCGAGTTGCCTGTGGACGTGGCTGGGACATTGCATTGTGCGAGCGTGGCTGTGATCCAGAGTAAACTCCTGTGTTAGTCTCGCGGCCCGCCTCGCCTTTTCCTATCATTCTGGGAACTCTCACGGATTTGTTCCCCCCCCCCGGCCCCCCCGTTTGTTTTTGTTATAATTGCTCTCATTTTTGTTTAAAATGGTATTTTTGAAACGATTAAAAACCCATTAAAGTTTTTGTTCCGCATTTAGATCAGGAGAGATAAGCACATGAGGTCACCCCCAGCCGTTCCTGTTGGAACCAGCCAATGTCTCCAATTAATTCACTGTTAACTATTACCATTTATGTAGAGGTCAAAACCCTGCAACTCTTTACAGATTCGCTGTCAGACACCAAGCCATTGGGGTGTGTGTGATGGTGGTGGGTGGATTGGGGGGGTGTTGAAGGCTAGTGCCTGATGGTGGGACGGGGTGGGCAATGAGCAGCAGGCTCCAGTTTGAGTGGAATTTGGATCCAGATTTAATTTGTTTGTGTAGGTCTCAGAACATTCCACAATTTGACCCATTCTTCAACGCAACCTTCATTTTCAACCCACTTTTCTTTGCACGTTCCTCTGCCTCTCAGACCCAAGTGGAATTTCCGCCCAAGGCCAATCTCGACAGCTGTCTTGTGAATTGTAGATTTTCCTGCCTCGGGTGAAATTTGTTGTCATTTGTAGCCTGATCCTGACCATAACACCTTCTGACACTCTGCAGATTTCACAGGAGACGCAACAACCCAAGCCAGTCACCACCGGCTCCCGGAGATAAATCTCTCCACCTCTTCATCTCCCGTCAGTGAGCTCCCGCTACCCACAACCAGCAGCGAGCTGCCATTGCCAACCCAAGGTCAGTCATCAAACCTTAACAACAACTACTTGCATTTACACAGCGCCCCTCATGCAAGGTAGCGTCCTAGAGCGCTTGACAGTGACGGAACACGACGCCGAGCTGGGTGGAGGCCCGGTTGAAGAGGAAGGTCTTCAGGCATGATCTGAAGATGAGGGAAGGATGTGGTAAGGCAGAGGGATTGAGAAAGAGTGTTCCAGAGTTTTGGGGTGTAGTGGCTGAAGGACTAATGGTAGAACGGAGGGCACGGAGGACAAGCTGGAGGCCGGAACCAGTTGAGTGGAACCAGCGGGTAGTGGGTTGGGGAGTAAGCAGGTCATAGAGATAGGGAGGTGCCAGGGCATGAGGAGATTTGACGACAAGTGTAGTGTTAGCTGAGACGACTGGAGAGTGTTCAAGGAATCCAGGTTGCAAATAACTGACGAGGCAATGTGTGTGAGGATTGGAAAACTATTAAAAACCTACCCACGGAAGGTGGCTATTCATCCTGTTTATCAGTGGTGTTTGCTCCTCCAACGAAGCCATCTATTCCATTCCCATTTGCAATTCCCTGCTACGATAAAACCTCAGGAATAGGCAACAATTGTCACTTGGCTCACTCTTGGCCTACGTCAAAGAGAGGAGATGGAAATGGAATCCTGAATTCTTGGCGCTCTATGTGAGGATATTTATACTCATTCTGTGCGGTTGTTTGTTTTATTACTTAATTTCCCGCCTTGCAGTATCCTCAAAGGAGCGGATTGGAATTTCGCTGAGAGAATACCGAGGGCTTTACTTAGTTGCAGCTAAAAAGGCGTAGCGTAATGGGCCGAATGAGTGAGTTTGTTGTACCTCACTTTACATGCTGTGTTCAGTCGCCTCCAGAGTTATCCAGCCCAGTATGTCAGGATCCCAGTACATTATAACTTGGTGTCAGAGGAAAATGGCCAAACCCTTTGCCATAACCAAACGGCACAGAGGATGAATGAAATCTTTGTCATGTTAATTCTGCCCAGAGTTGAGAGCTCCAGTGGGGGAGCGAGCACCAGTCACAATTATTATTATATTATTATTATACAATGGGACGAATGGCATTCTCTTGCGCTGCAAATTTTCTACTGTTCTGCAAGACGGTAAAGAAAACAGATGACGAAGAGCCCAAAAAAACAGATGTCCTGTTAATGAGTTGCTAATGGAGTGTTTTCTTTCCTTAATCGCATTAAGCGTTCAGCACCACTTGGGGTGGGAGGGGGGAGGAATAGCTTAAATGTGTTTTTAGCTTCCGATAGGAAAAGAGCGTTAGAAAGTCCTGACAAGGCAGCTCCAATGGATGTGGTGAGCGATACAGAAAGGGTCTGTGTGGAAGGAGTTGCCTTTGTGCTTATCTTGGGCATCGCAGAAACCAGCTCTTTGTTGAGATGTGACGGTGCTGGGCTCTGCCCTTTCCCGTCCTCAAAACACTTTTTGTTTTTGTTTCCCTGCAAAGCAAATACCCATGAGCGATTGCCAGCCGGGGGTAAAGGCGGTGGATAAACAGCAGTTAACATGGAAAAACAAACACGCAGCAACCAAAACATAAATCCAAGTCAACGGTAGCGATTTGGACCTGCTGTTGGCGGGATAATTTCCGCGAGTCTGATAAGGTCTCGTTATGAAGTGATTAGATCTCTTAATTGTGGTGTAAAATGGAAGCAGATTTACATCCCAGAGAGAAGGCTAGTTAGACACTGAAGTGTTCATGAAGCGTTGCCAATCGCATTCAGGTTTTTTTCGACTTTCCAGCAAATCCACAGGCAAAACCTGCGGTTAACTGATTTCTCTGGGTTTGTCACTGAAACTGATGGATTTGATGTCCGGTCACTACCGCTAACTACTTGTGGCTGAGGTTGTCACGTCGCTGAGCCGTCTCAAAGCGCTTCACAGAGGGTAAAGTGGTTTGACTGTGTATTCTGTGGGCGAAACGAAGTGCAGTGATATCCATAAGCCTCGGGTTTCTTTGGGAGACTTCGCATGTGCCGTGGAGCAGGCAATGGGAAACCAGAAGGGGAGGGGAACACGCGAGTTAAGCTACGAAACTCACGTGTGGCGAACTGGGTTCAACTAAAATCAGAACCAAAAGGCTTTCAGTGAAGTAGCCTACAGCGTTCCCAGCACCCCAATCCCCCTCTGCTCCCATATCAACGCCCTCCACAAAACAGGTCTCCCATGCTCGCGCCGATAATTAACAAGAGGAAACAAAATGTTTTGACTCAAGAGTGTTTGTAGCCGAAGAGGATGATAATTCACACACAGAGAGAGACGGAGAAGCAGAGTTATTTGGCTTAGCGCCTCCCCATGGTGAGGTGCATCCGTTACAGACCACCAGAGCTGGCAGCCCCTCGGACGCCTCGGCCCGAGGCTGGTGTCCGTGCAGAGTTGGGTCTCGCTCAGGAGACCCCGGGGGGGTGTTTAAACTGAGCCAAGTCCGTCCGGGAAAAAAAAAACGTTTGCAGTCTCTTAACAAACGTTGGTGTGATCCGGTGATTGCTGTAAGTTACTGCAGGCGAAGGCAGCGACTGTGGTTATCTGATGGAGACGGATAATTGAGTCCCGTAGTGTAGTAGTTAGTGCGCTCGCCTTGCAAGCAAGAGGACCTGGGCTCGAGTCCCAGGCGGGCTTAAACCTCACGGAAATTTCCTTACTCGGACCACTGGACCCATCCACGAAGCGAATGAGCGATTTTTTTTTTTATCGGGGCGGGGGGTTACGGGGGATCTGGGGGAAGGTGGAGGAAGATTGTTGACCAGGAAACTGGGAGAGAGAAACTCCTTTCCCTTTTCCGATAGGGCCCTGAGATCTGTAAGCTTCACCCCTGATCATTCCCCATTTCCGTACGATCTTTCCATTGTCTTCACGGGATGTCACAGTGTGAAGGGAAACCTGTGCAATGGGCACTGTCCCTGAATTGAAAGCCAAGGCTTACTCAGGACAAGCGATTGATCCAGGCTAACGCTACGCACGCTGAAACACGGGGCCTAATAACAGGAGGGCGAGGTTTTCAACATTCACGTTAAAATTGTGCCACTTGATCGTAATGTCACTGGGCACCTTTCGGATGTCGGGCCTTTTCAAGGCCACAAATTCTTCACCGGATTCCGACTCTGGTACCTGTTTGATGTCTTTTGCAGTAGCGTGCTATATCATGGGGCTATTGACAGGCGAGTCTCACGGAAAGCTGAGGAATGCTCATTACAACCACATGTGTACTTGCCCATCGTGTCTGTGCTCGGGCTCGCTCCCCCACTGGAGCTCTTTACTCTAACCGCATTCCCCTGCTCTCTCTCTCTCTCTCTCCCTCCCCATCGTGTCTGCGCTGGTGACATGACTTCTTGTGTTATAAATTAAGATCTCTACGCATTGCGGTTGCGAAGCGATTTGTATATTGTTCACATACGGTATTTTCATGTTTTAATTATTCACAGCTTTTGTCTTCTGAAGTGTGTGGCCCACATGATGCAAACAGGCAATAAAGGGCAAGATTAATGTGATAGTGGAGTGAGAATCATTCGCATGCTTTTGGTCAGTGGGTGTCTTGACATTTGCCACAAGCCATCACCGTGGCTAAATCTCCAAACCAAGCCGAGTTCCGTGCATGTCCCCCGCACGTGGAAATTCCTGTGTTTGGTGACCGTTAGCAAGTGCTGGATTGTCACTCGGGTTGGGTTAATCACAAGGGAACATACATTTTTCTCTCAAGAATTGAAATGCTTGAGAGCATGGGGGATTGGGGGGGTGGGAGGGGAAGAGATGTGTGATATTCAACTGAAAACAAACAGTTGTAGAATGATACAGGGCGGAAACAGCCCATTCGCCACTTGCCTGCCAGGCAGAACCTTGCTCTAACATTTCATCGATGACAAGAATCCTTGTGTTCGATACGGCATTCGTTCTATCCAAAAAAAATCTCAATGCCTCCCCGGGAGTTGCTGGTGGGGTGTAGTGACTGTCTTTGTAGGCAAGCGTGACAGCGAGGCCCCATGCACAGGCGTGAAGTGAACGAGCCCAGTGTCGCTCTGTATTTCACAGGGTCCTGCAGCGTAGTGGTTAGTGCACTCGCCTGGCAAGCGAGAGACCTGGGTTCAATTCTCAGGCAGGGCAAAATCTTAGGTAAGTTTACTTATTTCACACACACACACACACACACATACGCACCCCTGTTTGTCTGGCAGTAAGTAGGAACCTGGGGGGTAATAATCCCTCCCACCAAAAAACGTGTTCGCTTAATCCACGAGTGTTTGTGGGGACGCTGGTGGGCGCAATTGGTGTGTCGTGTTTTACCCACAAAATACACAGTCAATTCATTTTACGGTGTATCCTGTGAAGCGCTTTGAGACGTCTCGAAGACGTGATAAGGCGCTGTATCAAATGCGGGGATTATTACGATCATTATAACAAACCTCACAATCGAGCTCGCATTTCTGAGTTGCGATGTTGTAAAACGTGATCACGTCTCCGTGATAGATTCTGTCGAGATCCGCTTCACTCTCTTTCGTTCCTTTCTGACTTTTTTTTCTCTCTCTCTCTCTCTCTCGTCATAATTGTTGTTGGCCTCAGTTTTCCAGCTGAGCAAATACATGGATCAATGATAGTCTTAGAGCCCTAATCCACTGAAAAATGCCCAGCCAGAGGGCAGGGAGAGCTCTGTCAGTGCACAATGTACGGCAGCGGTCTGGTGAACCGCAAACTGACACCAACATGACATTAAGTCAGGATTAAGCTGTTTTACGTTCACCTTCAGTAACTCAGTGTGACTCAGAATAGCTGATTGATTCCCAAGACTGACACCTTCACGTCAATCAAACCCCATTGACTTGTTACTTGGAAGCTGACAGTTTGCACACCTGACACTGAAGGACTTAGGTGGAATGTGCACCTGATTCGCAATGTGTTTCCCCGTTTGCGTTCCACTTGTGGTGGTGTTTGCACATCTGTTTGCCTGTGATACAAAACCTCACACGCTGTCCGGCTCAAGCGAGTGGCTAAGGTGACAGTGTCACGTAAATAGACCGTATAAACAGGACGCCATTTTCTCCACCGAGCCGTTGCCGTCGGTTTATTAGTTCACAGCAGATCTTTTGTTCGCATTTAATCGCAGTGTACCCTGTGCAGCGCTTTGAGACGTCTCGAAGACCTGATAAGGTGCTATATCAAATGCAAGGGTTATTGATATTATTATCTAACCGTCCCTCACCTCATTCAAGATCCATCTCGACACCTACAACAACAAGATTACATGTGTATAGCGCCTTTCACGTCGGGAGGACATCCCAAGGCGCTGCACAGAGTATAGCATTTCAGACCCGAGCTGGGGTCGGGTGGGGGGGGAAGGGAGGGGAGGGGGGCGGCCGATGACATGGTCGAAGAGGAGGGTCTTGAGGCGGGACTTGAAGAAGACTAAGGAGGGGGCGAGGCAGAGTGATTGGGGGATGGAAGTCCAGAGGTTGGGGGCAGAGTGGCTGAAGGCTCTCCCACCAATGATGGGTCGGGGGAGTTGGAGCAGCCGGAGCCGGCTGAGCAGAGGGAGCAGGTGGGTTGGTAGGGGGATAGGAGGTCGCAGAGGTAGGGTGGGGTGAAGCCATGGAGGGCTTTGTAGGTGAGGACCAGGATCTTGAACTGGATCCTCTGAAGGATAGGGAGCCAATGGAGTCGGGCGGGAATGGGGGAGTTGGGGTCACGGAGTTTGGTGCGGGAGAGGACACGGGCTGCAGAGGTCTGGATTATCTGCAGCCTGCGGAGGGAGGAGTGGGGAAGGCCGACACGCAGGGAGTTTGCATAGTCGAGCCTGGAGGTGATGAAGGCATGAACAAGAGATTCAGCGCCTGAGGTGTGAGGCAGTGGCGGAGTCGGGCGATGTTACGGAGGTGAGGGAAGGCAGAGCGGGTCATGACTTGAATGTGGGGGAGAAAAGACAGTTGAGGGTCGAACAAGACACCGTTCCTGACTGGCTTGGTGAGCTGTAGTGAGCAACCATGGAGGTTGATGTTGCCGGAGCCTGAGGTGCAGAGGCGCTGGCGCGAGCCATTCAGGAGTCCAAAGGTCTCTGACCGCACTTTTGGTCATCTTTCCCCTGGCCACAACCCCCCACCACCGCCCCCCCCCATTGGCTCCCACCCCCAACTCGAGGTGGGGGTGTTGAGGGGGTGGGTCGAGGTGGTGCTCGCAAATTTGTGCAGCCTTGTATTGAAAAAAAACCCCACAAAGATGTAGGAAATTAGAGATGCCCTTTGAGAGAGAATTTTCCATTGTGTTGTTTGTTGTCGCGGCTGTAAATGAAAAAGCTTTGAAAACTGCAGGACATGTGGCTGTGACTGAGCCCAGTAAACACAGAGAGAGAGCGTGGGGGGGTTGGGGGTGGGGGGGGGGTGCAGTGTGTCTGCATGGGATCAAACTATTACATTCCGTCAGCTAATCACGGTTTATTGCCTCCGGGGAGGGGAGAGTTTAACAGCTGCTTAAACCCCGGTGCGAGAAGATCAAAGGGTTAAGTATAACGTAAACGTCACCGGCAGTAAATCAATTCCTTCTCCTGATCTCGCTGTCCTGTGGCCCCCGCGCAGCTTTCTGAAGTTTATTTCAATAACTTTCAATAACCAGCAGCGATTTCAGCTGCTGATTTGCGTGTCACCATCGTGCAGTGCTGTTTTTGACGCTTGCGTTGCATTTTGCATTTGACACAGCGCCTCATCGCGTCATCGAGACGTCCCAAAGCGCTTCACAGGATACACTGGGTAGTGAATTGACTGTATATTTCGTGGGCGAAACACAAAGAAAAAACTTACGCGTGTTCTCAAGTTCTCTGATTCCTACCTCAACCCTCAGCTCTGGTGCAAACCCTCGACTGTCCCAACGCCTTGGGAGGTCTTCCTGACTTGAACGGGACTGCGGTGGTGTCCTGTAGTGTAGTGGTTAGAGGGCTCGCCTCGCGAAGTGAGAGGACCCAGGTTCGATTCCCGGGCGGGGCAAAACCTTAGGCAAGTTTCCTTACTGCACAAGCCGCTGTTTACCCGAGCAGTAAGTTGGGACCTGCTTGTTTTCCGGGGGGTAATAATCCCCCCCACTTAAAAAAAATTGGATCGCTCAATCCACGACTGTTTGCGGGACACTGCTGTGCAATCGGCTGCGCAGTTTCGGCCACAAGATACACAGTCATTCCACATTACAACATACTCTGTGAAGTGCTCTGAGACGTCTCAACAAAGCGCTAAAGGGCTATACCAAATGCAAGGATAATTATTATTATTAATATTAATAATCATAAATGCAAGGTGATGTTGTTGTTACCCAAATCGGTTTCCCGAGGGTCTCTTTCCCTGATCTCGCCACATTCCTGCTGAGGTGCAATGCACTAAAATGCCAGGAATAGTTTGAACACGAGGCGGAGGAAATTCTCTGGAGGAAACCGTCCAAAGCGAAAGAGCGACACGTGATTAATCCCCGCAACATCCGAAATTGATTACCAGCCGCGGCTTTTAATTGATTGGAAAAGTATAATAAATAGTTTTGCTCCCACTGGGTCTGTCTGGCTTCTGTGCCAGGTTTCCGTGCTTTTGTCAGGTGCTCGGGTGCTACGGTTTATTGATGTCTTTTCTTCTTCGCCTGAGGATTGTTGAGTCGGGTTACAATCGAGTGCGTTTGGTGAAATCTGAACCAAAAATACTGTCTCACTTAAGAAAGGGCAGCAACAGGATTGACTCCAAATCTATTGCAACAATAATAATCCTCGCAACTGATACAGGGCTTACAATGTCAGGAAGCCTCCGAATGCTTCGCGGAGAATTGCCGTGAAGAGTGTAGGCAAAGTCGATGGCTTTTTTTTTTAACACGCAGTGAAGTCGTCCCTTGGGGCGCGGCAAGAGACAAATGTGAAGTCCCGTAGCTTAGTGCCTCGCAAGAGAGAGGACCCGGGTTCGATTCCCGGGCACGGCGAAACCTTAGGCAAGTTTTCCTTACTCTGCACACCTCTGTTTACGCAGCAGTAAGTTGGAACCTGGTGGTTAATCGATTGGTGGATCACTTTCCGGGGGTAATAATTCCAACCCCCACCCACCAAAAGTTGGTGACTCAATCCACGGCTGTTTGTGGGACACTGCTGCGTGCAACTGGCTGCCGTGTTTCACCCACAAAGTACACAGTCACTCCACTTTCCAATATACTCCGTGAAGCGCTTTGAAACGTCCCAACGATGGGATAAGGCGCTGTGTCAAAAGCAAGGATTGTAAATGACCAATTTATCCAGAGGCTTGAAATTCCACCGAATCTTGCATCTTCAACTTTCCGCCCCTTCCACCCCCGCCCCTGCCCTCTCCCCCTCCCCCACTCGTCCCTAACTCCAGCAATATCTTAGCGCAAATCCAGCTGATGGAGGGGCTCTTAACTCCTAACCTGCAGTCATTTCAGCAGCGAGTCAGGATAACAATCGAGCTCTTATATCCCCAAACCATTCCCGAGCCACAACAAAGCCCTACTCAGTGCCCAGACTGCAGTTACAGACAAGGCCTCGGCTCTGGAGGAGAGAGAGCGTTTTCCTGCCAACTGAATTGCACACCCACCCTCGCCTCAAATTATTCTGTTCTGCGTGTGGTTGGGTGTATTTGCGAGGCCTTGTGTTCAGGGAGCTGTGGGTTCCTTTCCATTGGTGGGATACTTCCCCCCCCCCTGCTCCCCCCTTCCTCGTCTATCGAACCCCCCCATAACCTGTTGCGCAGTTCTAAAACTTAGTTTGGGAACAGTTTCGGAAAGGCTTAAAGGTGTGGGAGAGCAGAGGGTGTGGATCGGAGGCGCGCACAGAATTGGAAACGTTGTGAAAACATTCTTTTTGTTCCCGAAAGACTTTGAGTGCTTTTCAAAGGGAGAAGACGCCAGCAGCTGGATAGTTTTTGGCTCAAGTTTAAAGACTCCGTCGGTGCCGTTGTGCTTGTGCCTGGGGGGTAGTGGGGAAGGGGTTGGGGTGGGGGGGGGTGGTGCGGGGGCAGAGTGGGGGAGTCGGAATCCTACCAGCCCCGACCAACGGGGGGGAAAATGACCTCTTCTGACGTTTTAAAGTTGTGTCTCTGGGTGTGTGTCTCACTGTGGCCACTTTCAGGTAGTGTGAGCTGCAGAAATCAGTATGATTGTGTTTAATTTTACAGAGTGTAAGTCTTTGCTGGGTTTATTCCCTGAGACCCTCATTCAGAATCGCCCTGCTTTCCCCCACCCCCCCGCCCCCCACCCCCCGCCCCCTGAGCACTGGGCTCCAATCCCAGGAAATTCCAAAATGCCAAATGCGGCTGCTTCAGTCTTGGTTCTGCTTTTGGAGGAGAGAGAACTTGGGAGGGGAGGCGTGCGCGTGTGTGTGTGTGCGTGTGTGTGTTGGGGGTGGGAGGGGTGGGGGTTCTGTTCAATGAGCACAGCTTACTGAGTTCTGCAGCGTAGTGGTTAATGAAATCGCAGCGCAAGCAAGCGGACCTGGTTTCGATTCCAAGGCAGGGCAAAACTTTGGGCAAGTTTCCCTACTCCACACGCCTCTGTTTACCCAGCAGTAAGCAGGAACCACAGTTGTTAGTCGATTGGGGGATTGCTTTCCGGGAGTAATAATCCCCAGCAAAAAATTGGCCACTCAATCCATGACTGTTTGTGGGGACGCTGCTATGCGCAATTGGCTGCCGCGTTTCACCTGCCAAATATATAGTCGGTCCACGTTAGCAGTATAGTCTGTGAAGCGCTTTGAGAGGTCTCAGTCAACGGCCTGGTAAGGCGCTGCATCAAATGCAAGGATTCTTGTTATAATTTGAAACCTGGTTGGGGTGCGATGGGGAAAAGAGCGTCTATTTTAAAAAAAAAAAGGGACGATGAAGATCGGGTGCGATTATTGCGGAGAGTTGATTGAATTGTATTGGATTGGAATGTAAATGGTTGCCTTTCACTCTCTCTCTCTCTTTCTCTCTCTCGCTCTCTTTCTCTCTGGTTTCAGGCTTTGCGGGGGATGTGGCTGAGATGTGCTGTGCAGCCGGGCAACAGTGGTCAGCCTCCCACGGCCACTGCTTCGACATGTCTCCGCAGTTTGCTGACTCCGCACTGTGCAGGTAGGTCAGGCCCTGCTCTGAGACGCTACCCTGCATGGAGGGCGCCATACAAGTGCAAGCTGTTGTTGTTGTTGTCGTCATTGCTCTGTACAGCCACGTGCAATCGCAGTAGAGGTTCAGGGGTAAGACAACCCTAACGCTTTGAGACGCCTCGAAGACCGCCCCGAAATTGCCCTCCGCACCCCTATTATCGCTAAGTGTTACTGCGTCACTATAATAATCCTTGCGTTTGATGTCGCGCCTTAGCACAACATCATCGAGACTTCTCAAAGCGCTTTGCAAGAGTTGGTTGTGAAGTGTAGTGACTGTGTATTTGGAGGCGAGCACGGCAGCCAATTAGTGTCTTATTCGAGTACAGTACCTTGGATAATACAGCGTCCCCCACCGTCCCCCCCAACTCCCCCCACCCCAGTGCGAAGTTGGAGCATCAACCTCGACTGTCTCAAAGTGCCTGATGTGAGGTCTCGCTCATTCTTTTCTGGGTCTGTTATTACTTTGATTGCTTGTTTTATTTTGCACACAAACCGAACATATTGGATCAGTTATTTGATCAAAGGAGGTTCTCCAGGGATGACTTTTTATTCTTTTAAGAACCACTCCAGGTTTGAGACAGAAAGTAGTGTTCGAACGTCCTGGATACTTTCAGAGAAATAAACATGATAAATAAGCTGATAAATAAACATGAAATAAGCTGCGATGTGTCTCAGTCTTGTTACCCTCTGAGAGATACAGAGCAAAGGCAATCGATGGTCTTAGTCACAGCTCCCTTACGCAGTGTGGCGTCCCAGAGCGCTTACCAATGGTGGGGCACGATGCTGAGCGGAGGGGAGGGGAGGTGACTGTAGGCACGCTCAAAGAGGAAGGTCTTTATGAGTGATCTGAAGATGGGGAAGGAAGGGGCAAAGTGGAGGGTCGAAGGAGAGAGTTTTGGGGGCGTAGTGGCTGAAAGCACGGCCACCGATGGTGGAACGGAGAGGACGAGGGGCGAGCGGGAGGATGGAGCCAGCCGAGTGGAGGTGACGGGTGGTGGAGGGGGGTAATAAGTCGATCGGAGAGATAGGGAGGTGCAAGATACACAGAGAGATAGGGACGCAGCCCTCTGACACAGTCTCCAATATCACACAATTCAGAGACGCACCTTTGGCCCACAAATACCCAGTCACTACACTTGACGGCGATTCCCTTTGAGCCTACGTTTGGGGGCTGTGGCTGGCACTGGGAGTTTTGCGATGCGTAAGGTTATCATGGTGATTGCAGGATCACCCAGAGTCAGTGCTGTGTGGCGTACCTGGAGGAGAGCAGCTGTTTTGCGGGAATGACGGCAGTGAAGGAAAAGGGAACGTGCAGTGAGGATCCCAACGAAGAGTGTGGCACCAGCATGTACAAGGCGAGGAATAATAATAATAATTAATAATAATAATAATCCTCGCATTTGATGCAGCGCCTTATCACGTCCTCAAAACGTCTCAAAGCGCTGCACAGGATATATCGTAAAGTAGGAGTTCCTGTGTGTTTCGAGGGCGAAACGCGGCAGCCGATTTGCGCACAGCGGTGTCCCGTGAGTGACCCAATTTATTGGGGGTGGATTGTTGGCCAGGACACCGGGAGAGAGAGAGAAACTCCCTTCTCTTCCCTTCTCTGGGATCTTTAATGTCCACCTGAACAGGCAAACGGGGAACTCGGTTTAATGTCTCATCCGAAGGACGGCACCTCCCACAAGGCAACCCCCCAACCCCAGTGCTGCATTGTAGTGTCGTCTTAGACTATGTGATTCCACGAGCCGACGTGGGGCTCGAACCCACAAACTTCCGACTCGGAGAGGAGAGCGCTACCACTGAACCAGCCCGACACACAAGTGGAGGGGGTGGGGCACGGGAGGGGAATTGGCCGTGAATGTCTTTACTGAGAACACAAATAGTAACCACAAATTGACGTGTTCCCCAGAGCCTTCCACGTTGGGAGGACAATCCCAAGGCTCTGGACTGTTCAGTGTTTGCTCTCGAGCTGGGGGTGGTGAGGGGTGAAGAGGGTTGGGGAGAGCGAGGGGAAGAGGATGTGTATGATATTTTTTTTCCTTCCCCACCCCCCCCCTTTCAGAAATGCTGTGACTGCTGTGAGTTGGGAATTCTGTTCCGTGGCCAGGCTGGCTTGTGTGAGGGGATTCCAGCATTGGGCTACCCCTGCAGCCAGGTCTATTTAAGCTGCTGTCAGGGAGCTGGCGAGTTCGACACTCCCGAAGTAAAAAGGCCAGAGAACAAGCCTCTGCCATCGCCCACTCTGGCACCGGAGAGAGGTATGGATTCGGGGAGCCCTGTAGCGTAGTGGTTAGAGCGCTCGCCTCGCAAGCGAGAAGACACGGGTTCGATTCCTGGGCAGGGCGAAACCCCAGGCAAGTTTCCTTACTCCCTGTGCCTCTGTTTACTTGGTTGTTTGTCAATTGGTGGATCGCCAAAATGATTTGGTCACAATCCAGGCTGACACTCCGGCACAATACTGGGGGTGGGGGAGGCATCATCCTTTGGGCGAGATGTTAACCTGAGTCGGGGCCCTGTCCAGTTTTGACGTTAAAAGTCCAGCTTCACAATCAAAAAACAGAAGGGAGTTTGGCCTGGTTTCCTCGCCTCCGGATTAGTTAGCTATCTGCTTCGTGGCTGCAGTTTGTTTGTGGGACGTTCCCATAGGCAAAGTTGGCTGCCGTGTTTGCCTACAAAATACACTAGCCGTTGCTCTAGAATCTTCCCCTGTGACGTGCTTGCCGATGTTTTGACATTATAAGGCCCTGTGTCAGACACAAGGGATTGTTCGAGTTATGTCATGAAGGACGCCAGGAATGTCAGCGAGATGCAAACCGCCTTTTGCTGCAGATACAAGGAAACGCACACACACACACACACACACACATGCTTTCACTTTGTCAGAAAGCGAGCCGTGTGTTTGGAGCGAGGGTTGGGCTGGCCTCCAAGCCTGGCTCGGCCTCAGGTGGGAGCTTTGGGAATGAGGTGGAGGGAGATGTGTTTGATGTGCTCGCTGGCTTTGGCAGGAGCTGCCGGCACATTCCTCATCCCAGCCTCGTGCACCTTTGACCCGGATCAGTTCGGAACCTCGGTTTGCCGGCTGCTAACACGGGCTTGGAATCCGCCCGGAGCCACTTCAGGTGCTGATTGCCCGATTTGTGTTTTTCTGGCGAAGTTTTCAGAACCAGTTCGGCGGTGTGATGGGAAGAGGGTTGTGTGGGCCATCTGGAAGGATGAGACCCTAACAGCAATAATAGTAATCCTTGCATTTGAGACAGCGCCTTATCACATTGAGACGTCTCAAAGCGCTTCACAGGATAAGCTGTGTATTTTGTGGGCCATGCACGGCAGCCAATTGCGCGCAGCGGTGTCCATTCAATACACTTGACATTTGTACAGCGCCTCCTCACATCGGGAGGACTTCTCAAGAACTTGATCACATCAGGTGGGCTTTCTTCATTCAAACCTCTCCTGTGATTGTAACTCTGTCTTGGTATTGGGTCTGGGGATGGGATCAGGGCGAGGTCTTGGATTGGCATTGAGGTTTGGATGAGTGTTGGGATCGGGGTTATGTCTCAGATTAGGATCAGGGTCTGAGATTGGGTGACTCGGTCCAAATGGAAGCCAGAGGCCCACTGAATGTTATACTTCAGGCTGGGAACAATGAGGGGTAACAGGAGACTCCAGACAGCAACGTCTCGGGTCTTGAGGACGTCTCCACATCAGAGATAATGCGATAGGAATTGATTTGCCAACGCGTGGTGTGAGGTCTCCCAACACACACACACACCAATAAAAACAACAACAAAATTACATTTGTATAGCGCCTTTCATGTCGGGAGGACGTCCCAAGGCGTACAGACACACACACCCGCATACACCCACGCACACACAGACATACACACACACACACACACACACAGACACACACGCACACACACACAGACAGAGCTTCCAAACCTGCAACCCAGCCTCACACATCAAGGTATCAGAAATCTGGCGAACAACAAAGCATGCCCCATGTGTGTACAGAATTTACCCCCTTTGACGTCTCTGACAGTCCACCTCATAAAGCATCTTCCAACTTTTACATTTTCTTTTCTTTTTTTTTTTGCATTGTTGTTAAAAAAAAATAAGGAAAAAAATGGGCATTTGGGTTGTCAGTTGGAATGGAAAATCATCTTCACTGCCAAACCCGGCACTTTGTGTTGTTGTCCTTGAAGAGGTCACTTGCGGTTCTGTTGACTTGGCAGCGATTATCTGCCAAAGGTTTCCTGGCGATCTGACTGCCTCAACCATTCAATGTTCAAATAATAATAATAATCATAATAATCCCGGCATTTGATACAGCGACTTATCACGTCTTCGAGACGTCTCAAAGCGCTTCACAGGATATAGTGTAAAGTGAATTGACTATTGTGTATTTTGTGGGCGAAATGCTGCAACCAAAACTGTCAGTGAGCACCACAAGACACCTCTATCCCAGTACACCTCGCTTTGAGGCTGCCTCTGAACCACGCCTTTTTTGCTGCTCTGTGGGTGACCGAGGCCACTCTTCCTAGAGTTTCTCTTTGCACACCCAGGAGTTTTTTTTAACTGAAGCTATGAAGTTCTCTTCTGGTCGTGGAGTGACTGGGGGGAGAGAAGAGGACACACAGAGGAGAGCAATGAGGCTGACGCACTTGGGTTAGGGGAGGGTTTGGAACTAGGAACTGCCAACAAATTGGTGTGATGGGATAACGGTGGTTGGACGTTCTCAAAGGATTAAGGGGTGGGGGGGGTGGGGGTGTGCTTTAACATGCACTCATTTCTAATGGGATTTCTTAATAAGGAATCTTGGGGGTGGGGGAAGAAAGGGCTCCTTTTGGTAAGTGAAAGTAAATCCCTGGAGCAGATCGCATCACAGCAGAGTTATGATATTAATGGTAATAATTATAATAATCCTTGCATTTGATGTAGTGCCTTATCCTGTGCGTTTGCTTGGTAAGGAATGCTGGTGGGAATGGCTAGACTGGGTGTCCGTGGACGGAGCGCGGTTACCGCGGTGATTTTGCCAAGGCGGAGTTCCCGAAGCAACGTGTGTCTTTTTCTCTCCTGTGAAGTCGTGGAGCCAGAGACCTCGCGAGAAGCTCTCTCCATCAGTGAGGAGGAGACACAAGAGAACTCCATCACGGAAGATGACCTGGACGAGTGCACGGTCTACGCCGGCCAGCTGTGCGAGCACATCTGTTTGAACACCCCAGGGTCCTACCAGTGCTCCTGTTCCCTGGGTTACCAGCTCCAGCCTGACCAAACCTCCTGTCGATTAGGTAAGTGACCTTATTGTCCATCGGTGTCTCAGGTCACCTGCTGCTGCCTTTAGGTCCCTGGAGTGCTCCTTCACCGTTTGCGCTTATGTGTCAGGCGCTCGACTTCATCTTTTACATCAATTGTTGAGCAAAAGCAACTGAGACACTTATATAGAAAGTTTCCAATGCGGTAGTCTATTCACCCATCGTGTCTGTGTTGGGGCTCGCTCCCCCACTGGAGGTCTCTACTCTAACCCCATTCCCTGCTCTCTCTCTCTCCCCCCATTGTGTCTGTACTGGTGCTCGCTCCCCCACTGGAGCTCTCTACTCTAACCCCATTCCCCTGCTCTCTCCTTTAATACTTTCCTGCCCCACATTTTTATCCTAACCCTGTTCCAGACTCAACATTGCGGTACGCTGTGCAATGAAGATTGTTCTCTTCACCCTGTGGAGGTCTCGGAATATGAGAAGCCATTTATTGACTGGAACTAACATTTGTATCATATCCAGACACATGGTAATGGTTACAGACGGTTCTGTTTTTGTTTCCCTTAAATCACGGCCTCTGCTCATTAAGTTAAAGCAAGGCTGACTGACAATACCGCGGGCCTGTGTGACAGCTGCAATGCCTCTCCTTCGGCGGAGGCAGGAATATCAATTTCGGATTGGAAGCGGCTCACTCTGTGCCGGGTCTCTACACCTAGTGTAGGGCAGCTTGATCCTGGCACCCAGTCCACATGTAGAGTCGTGTAATAATAATAATAATAATAATCCTTGCATTTGATATAGCGCTTTTCACGTCGGGAGGATGTCCCAAAGCGCTTCACAGAACACACTGTAAAGTGAATTGACTGTATATTTGTGGGCGAACGCGGCAGCCAATTGTGCACAGCAATGTCCCACAAACACTCGTAGATTGAAAATGACCAATTTATTATTGTTTTTGGTTTTGGAGGGATTATTATTAGGCTCTGTGTGGAGTAAGGAAACTTGCCCGAGGTTTCGCCCTCTGCCTGGAATTGAACTCAGGTCTCTCACTTGCAAAGCGAGTGCTCTAACCACTGAGCTACAGGACTCCACTTAGTGCAGTGCAGTGGTTACTGTGCTCGCTTCGCAAGCGAGAGGACCCAGGTTGGATTCCTGGCAGGGCGCAACCATAGGCAACTTTCCTTACTCCACACAAACTCTGTTTACCTAGCAGTAAGTAGGTACCCATTTGTTATTAGATTGGCTGATCGCTTTCCTGGGGGTAATAATCCCTCCAAAAAAAATAATAATTTGGTCATTCAATCCACTGCTGTTTGTGGGATAATTGGCTGCCGCACTTCACCCACAAAATACACAGTCGTTACACTTTACAGTGTATTCTGTGAAGAGCTTTGAGACGTCTCGAAGACGCGATGAGGCGTTGTGTCAAATGTGAGGATTATTATCATTATTAATATTGTTTAGTGCACCAAGATTGCAAATCCTGAAAAGACAGGCAGACGCACGGATAAGGATCTATCAGGATGTCGCAGTCTTCATTCCTTAGCTCCTCCAGACACATCGTTGAGGCTGAACCTCAGCAGATTGATGATTAAAATAATTTTTACAATAAAACCCCAAATCCAACGATGTGCTTGGGCAGCGTTCCCACGTGGCTGTGTTCCAGAGCACACAACTGCACCGAATTTGGTCCCAGTTTAACAATCACCTCACAGACAGAGAGGCAAGGCCAGCGAATGGGGGAACTGGAGGCTCCACAGTGGAGGTGGTAAATTGCGTCTGAGTTCCGACTATTCAGCTCTTGTGTTAACCCACATTTTATTCCACCTCATCCCCCCCCCCCCCCTTCCATCCCCCACCCTGCAACACTCAAAGCACCCGTTTGTTCGTGCTCCCGCTAATAGGGGGCAAATAATAATAATAATCCTCGCATTTGATACAGCGCCTTATCATGTCTTCGAGTCGTCTCAAAGCGCTTCACGGGATACACTGTAAAATGAATGGACTGTGTATTTTGTGGGCGAAACGCGGCAGCCGATTGCACTGGTTTTCTAACCCATTTGTGGCATGTTAACAATTCAACAACTGTTGAATCAGCTACCAAGCATCGCAGTTACAGTCTATGCTTATCGACTGGTCCATCGCTACAGAAACAGTCACTACACCAGACCATATTTGTTTGAGAAGGTGCAAGTTCCTTCTCACCATCAACAGTAAACGTGACAGCATTCAGTGTGTGATACCAGAGGGTCAGTTTGCAAGGCGATGGGATAACAGTGTAAAGCAGCCCACATCAGACCCACACTGGGGGAGAAATTCTACCCGGGTCTAGATTCCTCCCTTAGAAACCTGTGCCCGATTGGCTGCTGGGGTTTTCCCCCCCCAAAAAACACACAGTGAATTCACTTTACAGTATATTCTGTGAAGCGCTTTGAGACGTCTCACCGATGTGATAAGGCGCTATGTCAAAGGCGAGGATTATTATTATTATTGGCATTGCAGAGCGTCCAAGAATTGGACAAAATCGTAAGGTCTTAAATTCGAAGCCTGTGTTTTTTTCTGTACGTTTGCAACAAACTTAGGGGAAATCAGTCTCGAAATGAAAGCTAACGATGAGACACTCTGAAAGTCCTTCGAAAGGACAGGCGCGCAGAGACCCTGGAGCAAACTCCGCTGCTGTGTGTTGTGGGAATGATTATTCTATCTTGGGTCAACTCAGAAGAGTTCAGTGTTATTTTCCTGTGAGTCTGAGTCACCCAGTGTTTGGGGATTTTTTTTTTGATGGTTGGTTTCCAGCCTTTACTCACTCGGTGGAAACCACCGGTGGAGACTTACAGAGGAAGCGGATGAAGAAAATGATTTGAATGAATCATCTTTCCTACCCAGCTCCACCCAAACGGTTTCAACCTGGGAAATATTTATTGACATTCATTGGCCTGCTTGTTGCACTCCGAGTTAACATAACCTGCCCCTGAGACAGCATGTGTGGCATCTCACAGCGCTTCACAGGTTATCGCTGATCTTGTGCTGTCGCTTTGGTGGAGGGAGTCAACGGGCCGATTTGCACGCAGCGAGGTCTACAAACTCCCCTCACCCCACCCCTCTCGCCCCCGCCTGCCTTTGCTTCACCGGGTCTGACCTCCTTCTTGTCCCCCGAGGCCTCCGCTCCACCCTCGGCGGCCGTGCCTTCAGCCACTACGCTCCGAGGCTCTGGAACTGCCTTCCTCACTCCCTTCGCCTCGCTCCTTCTCTTCCTATTTTCAGGTCTCTGCTGAAGGCCTTTCTTTTCGACCGCGCCTTTGGTCACCTTCCCCCCCCCCTCCCCCGGCTCAGTCCCGGGATCCGTTACTGTGAAGCGCTCTGAGATGCCACGGTTGTAGCGCACAGTGCAAACGATGTGTCCGTCTGTTACAGAGGAAGCGGATGAAGAAAATTATTTGAAAGAGGAGGAGCGTGTGAAGGACAACTCCACTCACACTCAGCCTGTGGACACCGTGGACAAGGACCTGTGTAGAGGTGAGGCTTCTCGCTCAGACACAGGGATATCTCCGCGTGTGGGTGGCGTGCGTTTGGAGAGCTCTCGGTGATCTGGTTCGGATACTCGTGAGCACGGTGACGGGTTTAACAGTTTGTGTGTGCGTGTCTTGCCCTCTCTCTACCGAGCTTTAAATCCCACTTTATCCAGCGATTCAGCGGATTCACAGTAAAGTGTAGTGATTTTGTAGGCAAAAGGATGATTGAGAGGAGAGAGAGAGTTGGGAAGAGGGATTATTGAGTGAACCTAATTACCAATAAATTATAATAATAAATAATAATAATTAATAATAAATAACGGCTCAGCATCGTGCGCTCTGGGACTCTACCTTGCGTGAGGGGCGCCGAGTTGTTATCGCCATTGACGTTAAGGAGACAAGCCAGGGAAATGGGATCGAAGCAGATGTCGATTGGTCAGCACTGTGAGAGGGACGGATATCCAGATGTGCTGACCCAGATGTGTGGGTTCTTACAGATTCCAACCCGTGCATGCACAACTGCACACAGCTGGGAGACGGAGTCAGCTGCTCCTGCCGGGATGGTTACCGGCTGCTGTCCGATCACACCTCCTGCGACGGTGAGCGAACATTCCAGAAACCAGGCAGAGTCATCTTACAGGGCATTGGGCAGCGAAATCAGGAAGCAAGTTTTCCCATAAAGGGGAGCGGGAATCCCTCCCTCCCTCCCTCCCTCAAAAGGCTGTGGATTATTGCTGGATCCATTCCCATTTCCCAGACTGAGGTGGAGGTGGAGGTTGTTAGGTCAGAGGATCAAGCGATATGAGGTAAATGCAGGTAATTGGACTTGAGGTACAGATCAGCCGTGATCTAATAGAGTGGCGGAACAGGCTGGAGGGGCTGAATGGTCACAGCTGGTTTGGAGCAAGCGACGGAACCCAAAAGAAAAAGAAATATATATCATAATCATAATTTGGTCACTTAATCCACGACTGTTTGTGGGACACCCCCGTGCGCAATTAGCTGCCGCGTTTCGCCCACAAAACACACAGTCACTACGCTTTACAGTATATTCTGTGGAGCTCTTCGAGATGTCTCGAAGACGTGATAAGGCGCCGTATCAAATGCGATACGTGCCCCCACCATACACAGTTTCCCCGTGTGCTGGAGGTTGAGAGGGTCTTTACTGTAAGTTGGAAGTTGACGTCTCGTGTCTGGTCTCTCTTTCCCCCCAGATGTTAATGAGTGTCTGACGGATTCTCACAGCTGTTCGCTGGGCGAGATCTGCATCAACACCTTCGGCTCCTTCAGGTGCCAGCGAGAGATTGTCTGCGGTCCCGGCTTCCAACGGAAGGACAACCATTGCCAAGGTGCCCGTCAGCCTCCGCGCTGATCCTGAATCCTGAAGCAGTCTAGTCTCCCGGGCTGAGATATCCAGTGTAATATCGTGGCTGTGTACAAAGTTAAACTGGATTGACACAGTTAATAATAAATAAACTCAGAACAGTACTTCAGGATGCCCCAAGGCAGCAAAACAAAATGGTCATTCAATCCCTGACTGTTTGTGGGTCGATTGGCAGATCGCTTTCCAGGGGTAATAATCCCTCCAAAAAGAAACCTCGAACCTTTTTCTGGGGCGCTGCTATGCGCAATTGGCTGCCGCGTTTCCCTCACTGGATACACAGTCACTACACTTTGCAGTATATTCTGTGAAGCGCTTCGAGAGGTCTCGAAGACGTGATAAGGCGCCGTATCAAATGCGAGGGTTATCGTTGCTTATTATAAAAGGTGTGGGATCACTTCGGCTCAACCTGTCCCGGTGTGAACGTCGCTGGCTCGGTGCTCGCCTCGTTGGGCAATTTTTTTTCAATCGCAAGTGCTTACAACATAACATAACATAACATCATTTGTTCATTTGTGCACAATTCACTTTGCATTTAATTGCAGTGGCAAAACAATTCACTGGACTTCACAGCAGTTATTTGTGAAGTGCTTTGAGATGCGTTGATGTGATAAGGTGCTGTAGAGTCCTTTGTAACTGACTATCTATCTGTGTGTGTGTGTGTGTGTGTGTGTCTGTCTGTGTGTTTGTGTGTGTGTGTGTCTGTGTGTGTCTGTGTCTGTGTGTGTGTAGACGTGGATGAGTGTATGTTTGGTACCCACAACTGCTCAACGGAAGAATCCTGTGTGAACAGCGAAGGCTCGTTCCAGTGTGTGGCGGCCGAGGTCTGCAAACAGGGGTTGATCCGCAATAGCAATGGTGACTGTGTGGGTAAGCTGTTTGTTTGGCATTTGCTATCTCCCAACACGGCATCCGGTCTCCATTTCTCCCCCCACCCACCACCCCAACCATACACATTCTCCCACCCCCCCCCCCACACGCACGCATTGTGGAGTCCTGTAGCTCAGTGGTTAGAGCGCCCACCTCACAAGCGAGAGATCTGGGTTCGATTCCAGGCAGATCAGGGCAAAATCTTGGGCAAGTTTCCTTACTCCGCTCGCCTGATAATAATCCCTCAAGAAAAAAACCCAATAATAATTTGGTCACTTCAATCCACGGCTGTTTGTGGGGACACTGCTGTGCGCAATTGGCTGCTGCATTTCGCCCACAAATATACAGTCAATTCACTTCACAGTATATCCTGTGAAGTGCTTTGAGACGTTCAGAAGACCTGAAAAGCGCAATGTCAAATTCAAGGATTATTATTATTATTATTATATTCACCCGCCCCATACGTGTTCCCCCCCAGGATACCCGTCAGTCTCCTCTGGGACGCTACCCTGGGTGAGGGGCACTATATAAATGCAAGTTGTCGTCGTCGTCGTCCCCCGCCCCATACGTGCCCCCACCATACGCAGTTTCCCCGTGTGCTGGAGGTTGAGAGGGTCTTTACTGTAAGTTGGAAGTTGACGTCTCGTGTCTGGTCTCTCTTTCCCCCCAGATGTTAATGAGTGTCTGACGGATTCTCACAGCTGTTCGCTGGGCGAGATCTGCATCAACACCTTCGGCTCCTTCAGGTGCCAGCGAGAGATTGTCTGCGGTCCCGGCTTCCAACGGAAGGACAACCATTGCCAAGGTGCCCGTCAGCGCCCGCGCTGATCCTGAATCCTGAAGCAGTCTAGTCTCCCGGGCTGAGATATCCAGTGTAATATCGTGGCTGTGTACAAAGTTAAACTGGATTGACACAGTTAATAATAAACAAACTCAGAACAGTACTTCAGGATGCCCCAAGGCAGCAAAACAAAATGGTCATTCAATCCCTGACTGTTTGTGGGTCGATTGGCAGATCGCTTTCCAGGGGTAATAATCCCTCCAAAAAGAAACCTCGAACCTTTTTCTGGGGCGCTGCTATGCGCAATTGGCTGCCGCGTTTCCCTCACTGGATACACAGTCACTACACTTTGCAGTATATTCTGTGAAGCGCTTCGAGAGGTCTCGAAGACGTGATAAGGCGCCGTATCAAATGCGAGGGTTATCGTTGCTTATTATAAAAGGTGTGGGATCACTTCGGCTCAACCTGTCCCGGTGTGAACGTCGCTGGCTCGGTGCTCGCCTCGTTGGGCAATTTTTTTTCAATCGCAAGTGCTTACAACATAACATAACATAACATCATTTGTTCATTTGTGCACAATTCACTTTGCATTTAATTGCAGTGGCAAAACAATTCACTGGACTTCACAGCAGTTATTTGTGAAGTGCTTTGAGATGCGTTGATGTGATAAGGTGCTGTAAAGAGTCCTTTGTAACTGACTATCTATCTGTCTGTGTGTCTGTGTGTGTGTGTGTCTGTCTGTGTCTGTGTGTGTGTGTCTGTGTGTCTGTGTGTGTGTCTGTGTGTGTGTCTGTGTGTGTGTGTGTGTGTAGACGTGGATGAGTGTATGTTTGGTACCCACAACTGCTCAACGGAAGAATCCTGTGTGAACAGCGAAGGCTCGTTCCAGTGTGTGGCGGCCGAGGTCTGCAAACAGGGGTTGATCCGCAATAGCAATGGTGACTGTGTGGGTAAGCTGTTTGTTTGGCATTTGCTCCCTCCCAACACGGCATCCGGTCTCCATTTCTCCCCCCCCCCCCACCACCCCAACCATACACATTCTCCCACCCCCCCACACACACACACGCATTCACCCCCCCTATGTGTTCCCCCCCCAAAGTACCTGTCAGTCTCCTCTGTGGGACGCTACCCTGGGTGAGGGGCGCTATGTAAGTGCAAGTTGTTGCTGTCGTCCCCCCCCGCCCCATACGTGCCCCCACCATACGCAGTTTCCCCGTGTGCTGGAGGTTGAGAGGGTCTTTACTGTAAGTTGGAAGTTGACGTCTCGTGTCTGGTCTCTCTTTCCCCCAGATGTTAATGAGTGTCTGACGGATTCTCACAGCTGTTCGCTGGGCGAGATCTGCATCAACACCTTCGGCTCCTTCAGGTGCCAGCGAGAGATTGTCTGCGGTCCCGGCTTCCAACGCAAGGACAACCATTGCCAAGGTGCCCGTCAGCGCCCGCGCTGATCCTGAATCCTGAAGCAGTCTAGTCTCCCGGGCTGAGATATCCAGTGTAATATCGCTTTGAGACGTCTCAACGACGTGATAAGGCGCTGTAGCAACGCAAGGATTATTATTATTACAGAGCAAGAGGAACGCGGGTTTAGAGTCACAAAGGGAGCAATTTCAGGACAGACGCTGGGAAGTTTTTCTTTACCCAAAGGGGAATGAACGAGTGGAACTGGAAGGGTGGTTCAGGCCAGGACTCTGGGAATCATGTGAAATCCTACAATGGGAGCACTGGGATTCTGAGGCCTGAGATGAGCCACACTGAGCCTCTGTGTGTGTGTGTGTGTGTGTGTGGGTGTGTGTGTGCTCTTGTGCATCGCTGACCCTAACTCTCAGCTCTTTCCCTTTGCAGATATTGACGAGTGTGAGCAAGGGACTCACAACTGTGCCGCGGGCTACGATTGTGTGAACACTCCCAGCTCGTTCCACTGCCGGTCCAGGGCCCAGTGCTCGGAGGGCTTCCTCCAGGACGCACAGGGCCATTGCCACGGTAACGGGCCGCCAACTGGACAGAGAGCGACGGGGAATCGCCCAAACATTAGTCTCTGCTTTTGGGTGGGGCAGTGCGGGGTGGGGTGGTGGGGGGTGGGGGGGGGGGGGGTGGGGTGGGGTGGGGCGGGGTGGGGCGGGGCGGGGTGGGGCGGGGGGGTGTGAGGTGTTGGACCGGCAGCTGATTCTTTACCCAATGCGGGGGTGGGGAGACGGTGGGTTTGACCCCCCCGCAACCAGCGAGATCACTGGTGTACAGAGAGAGAGCGACCCACAAGCAAAGTGGTTTGGGAGGTCGGCAACGGCCATTTAGCCGGACTGGAAGGTGGTTAAAGGGGGCGCGGGTGGGGGTCGGGAATGGCAGTGGAAAGCGGGCGGGAGTTGTGGGACCTCTCGCTCCTGACGCCTTGACCCTTGAAGGTCTGGCTTTGACCTGTTGCCGTGTGTGCGTCCGTGTGCAGATATTAACGAGTGCAGCAGACTGGCTCAGCCCTGCACTCCCGGGTTCAACTGCATCAACACCGTCGGCTCCTACACCTGTCAGAACTACATGATCACCTGCGGGAGAGGATACCACGCCAGCCCGGAGGGCACCCGCTGTGTGGGTAAGAGACTGGCAGCCGGGGCGCGCTGAGAGCCCAGGCACACACAAACACAACAACGCCGGCCAAGCGCCGGGACATAAACGCAGGTTTGACGTTGACCGCCGCGTGTTTTGCGGGCGAGAACGCGGCGGCCAAATCTCACGCCCGCGCGCGGCGGCTCCCGCTTCGCGGCGTGTCCCGCGAAGCGCTTGGAGTCGCTTCTCAGCGACCACCGTGGCAGTGACCACGCGCGAACGGTTACGCGGGTCGCGCTTTGCAAACTCCCGGCTGAATCGATCGAGGACTGGCGGGGTGTGGGGGTGGGGCGGGGGTGGTGGTGTGTGTGTGTGTGTGGGTGTGAAACCCCTTTTTGTGTGCCGACAGATATCGACGAGTGCCAGACCGGTTTGCACCGTTGCGGGGAAGGGCAGCAGTGCCACAACGCTCCGGGCAGTTACAGGTGCGACTGCAAGAGCGGGTACCAATACAACGCACTCAGCAGGACGTGCATCGGTGAGCACAGACGGACGGACCAGGGGCTGGTCCCCGCCGCTCAACACGTCCGCACCGCACCGCACGTCCCCAAGGCCTCAGCTCCTGCCAACCTGCGCCTAATACCCTCCCGGAGTTCAGCCATCGCATCCGAGCACCCAGTACAGACACGGGAGAGAGAGAGAGAGAGAGGGAGAGCAGGGGATGGGGTTAGAGTAGAGAGCTCCAGTGGGGGAGCGAGCCCCAGCACAGACACGATGGGGGGAGAGAGAGAGAGAGAGAGGGAGAGCAGGGGATGGGGTTCGAGTAGAGAGATACACAAATGACGAGAGGATGCGAGTCAGGTCCTTGTTGACCGTTCCATAAGACGAGCGAGAGTGCGGAACGTGAAGCCTATCACCCGACTTGGACCCTTCACCGAATCCCTTCCTGCCTCTGATTCCCTGAAAGCCTCTGGTGATGGAGCCCTGACACCACAGGATCGCAGCGCAGAGTGTGTGGTTCGAGCTGTGGGCAGGTGGACATCAGATCACACACACACACACATAGCGCACCCATTGCCCTGTGTGGCCCCTCGTGCTCTAGCTCCCCCGTGTGGTGCGACAGGTTCATCACAAGTCAATTTGGATGACTTGGGAACTACCGTATCTCCAGTTTTTCTGGGCACAAAATCTCTATTTTTATATATATATATATAAAAAGAGGTGAAAAGAGCTCTTTTATCTCTTTATCTGGCTCTCTCTTGCCATCGCTATCTCTCTCCGTCTCGCTCACTTTCTCTACCCCTCTCTCCATCATCCCTATCTCTTTCTGTCTACTTTTATCTCTCTAGCCCCTCACTCTCTCTTTTTGTCTCTCCCTCTCTATCTATTTCTCTCTCTCTCTCTGTGTCTCTCTCGCTATCTAACGGGTTCCGCATTTTCCCAGGAACTCAATGTGAAGGAATGTTTCCTGACCTAACCTCGAGCTGATCTGTTAGGATGTTCCCCTGCGCTGTGGCCACCTGGACTTTCCCTGCTCACTGTGCCTGGTTTTGCCGTTGACAGATGTGAACGAGTGCTGGCGATATCCGGGCCGCCTGTGTGCCCACACCTGTGAGAACACCCCCGGCTCCTATTACTGCTCCTGCAGTATGGGCTTCCGGCTCAGTGCCGACCGCAAGAACTGTGAAGGTAAAGAGTGGAGGGGGTCAGGGGAAGGGGGAGGGGATCGGGGAGGGGGGAGGAAAAGGTAACGGACATCACCAGGTGATCATATGGCAAAGGGAACCTGCATAGCTCATAAAATAACAACACATTAACTCTTTTCTCTGCATTGGTGGAGGTGGGGGGGGGGAGAGAGAGAGCAGGGAATGGGGTTAGAGTAGAGAGCTCCAGTGGGGGAGCGAGCCCCAGCATAGACACGATGGGGAGTAAAGGTTTACAATTCTGCGTAACCTTACGCGATGGAGCAACACAGGCGTTTGGAGAGTTTCTAACCAGTTCCTGACTCTCTGACAGATGTGAATGAGTGTGAGAGCTCCCCGTGCGGCCAGGAATGCGCCAATGTGTACGGTTCTTATCAGTGTTACTGCAGACTGGGCTTCCAACTCAGCCAGCTGGACGGACACTCCTGCACAGGTACCCGCTCACATCCTCACGCTTTTGTCATCTCTCTTCGCTGAGTGCTGTCCAGTCCTAGTCAGAACCCCTGCCCCCACCCCCCCCCCACCGACTACACACCATCCTGCTCCGCACCCAACCTCTGTGAGCCCCCTAAACCCCCTACCAACCCGCCCGCTCCCTCGCTCCCCACTCACCCCCACCACCATGCCTCCTTTAAGGCCCGCCTCAAGACCCTCCATCCCTCTTGATTGCATTTGCAACTCGGTTGCAGACCCTTCACTGTCCAGCACTTTGGGAGGTCCCCCCCCCCCCGACGTGAAAGGCTCCGTGCAGATGTCACTTGTTGTTGTTGACGTCGAGTTACCGGGGGAATGGAGGGGTGGTGTGGGGGGGAGGGGTCTGGTTCACTGTGTAAAGTGTGAGGTCTTCATGATGAGCGCATTGCGAAACAGTGCTGTGTGCGTGTGTGTGCGTGTGTGTGTGCGTGTGTGTGTGCTTGTGTGCGTGTGTGTGTGCGTGTGTGATGGGCGAGGGACTGTGGGTACTGTGCTAGGTCTGTGGTGTGGTTCAAGCGCTGTGAGATGCTACCCTGAGTGAGGGGCGCTCTGTAAATGCGACTTGTGGTGGTGGTGGTTGTTGTTGTTGTTGTTTGGTAGCTGGTGCGTCTCAGTGAGCTCCATTGCGTCAGCCCACGCGGCAGAATTCAGCCGTTGAGCGTAGTCGGAGGGCCCTGTGCTCACTGAGAGCATTATCCACTCCGTGATATTCCATCAGTAGGAAAGGAAATCAGTGACTGATCGACACGGTGTCTCACTGATATCAATAGCCTCCGGTAAACGGTCACGTACTAATCCGATCGTTTGCCCGAAAACGCCCAACATTGTGGTTCCAATGGCTAAACAAACCCTAACAAACAGCGGGAAGTTATCGTTGGAGCAGACCGAGGTGGTTGCGGGCGGGAGGTAAACTCCCTTCTCTTTTCCGACACAGACATGGGATCTTTACCACCTGCCTGACCAGGTACAGACGGGACCTCAGGTTAATGTCTCATCTGAAGGACGCAACCTCTGACAATGCTGTTCCCCACCACCCCCCCACCCCAGCTCCGCCGCACCCCACCAGCTCTGTGCTGGAGTGTCAATGAGTGTAGATGACTGGACCAGAGATCAGAGAGGCAGTGGGGAGGTGTCTCTTGTCTCTTTTCCAATGAGCCGCCAGGCCTCTGACTGTGTTGGCTTGTGTTGCAGATATTGATGAGTGCACCCAGAGTGGGGGAGCACTGTGTATGTACCGCTGTCTCAACGTGCCTGGCAGCTACACCTGTGCCTGTCCTGAGGTGGGTTACACCACCTCACCCAACGGAAGGTCCTGTGTAGGTAAGGTTCAACTCAACCCGGATCAGCCCTCTCACCCGCTCCACCAATCACCTTCACCATCACCGGAGACAGGGGCAGGGCACGGGTGCAGAGAGGTGGGGCATGGGCAGGGGTGGGACAAACCGAGGGACCCTGGACTGTGAAATGTTTTAGCACAAATGGTCATATTTAAGAGAATGGAAAAATCAAGGTCAAATATTATTAACAAGTGCAGGGGGAGAGCGCAGGGAATGGGGATAGAGGAGAGAGCTCCAGTGGGGGAGCGAGCCCCAGCACAGACACGATGGGGGGGAGAGAGAGAGAGAGAGAGCAGGGAATGGGGATAGAGGACAGCGCTCCAGTGGGGGAGCGAACCCCAGCACAGACACGATGGGGGGAGAGAGAGAGAGAGAGAGAGAGCAGGGAATGGGGATAGAGGAGCGAGCTCCAGTGGGGGGGCGAGCCCCAGCACAGACAGGATGGGGGCGGGGGGAGAAGAGAGATCAAGCAATCACTCTTTAACACTTATTATGATCTTCCCCTTAGATATTGATGAATGTGCTATAGGATCACACAACTGCTCGGCATCTGAGACGTGCTTCAATATTGAAGGGGGTTTCAGGTGCCTGATGCTGGATTGTCCCCCCAACTACAGACGAACTGGTGATACGTAAGTGCCCGCAAAAGCCTCTCGCTCTCGGCTCCAAATCCGTTGCCTTAAGGTTGAGGTTTGTGCCGGGGGTTTAGGGACATTCATTCTTCCCTTTATCTGGGAGTCGTTTTTCCGCATTTCAAATTTGAAAACAAAATTCTCCCAAAATTAAGTCCAACTTGGAGAACTTCCTTTAAAATTCCAGAGGATTCGAAGGCTCCGGGCAAGGCATCGACCTGAGGTGAACTTTTATGATTGTTTGGGAGTGTGCGTGTAGGTTTGTACGTGTGTGTGTGTGTGTGTGTGTGTGTGTGTGTGTGTGTGTGTGTACAGGTGTGTGTGAGTGTGTCATCAGTGTGCGAATGTACCTGTGTGTATAGGTATTTGTGAGTGTGTAATCAGCGCGCGTGTGTGTGTGTAGCTGTGTGTATAGGTGTGTGTGAGTACGTAATCATGCGTGTGTGTGTGTAGCTGTGTGCGTACAGGTGAGTGTGTAATCAGCGTATGTATATGTAACTGTGTGTGCAGGTGTGTAATCAGCGTATGTGTGTGTGTTGCTCTCCCCTAAGGCGTTGTGAGAGAATCAGCTGCAACAACTACATGGACTGTCAGAACATCCCGGTCAGAATCACCTTCTACCATCTCAGCTTCTCCACCAACGTACAGATCCCCAGCACCATCTTCCGCATCTCCCCCTCGCCCGCGTACGTGGGGGACAGCATCTCACTCAGCATCGCCAAGGGCGACCCCGAGGGGCACTTCGGGACCCGCAAGCTGAACGCCTACACGGGCACCGTGTCTGCTCAGCGGCCGTTCCGGGAAGCCAAGGACTTCCTGCTGGACGTCGAGATGAAACTGTGGCGTCAGGGCTCGCTCACTTCCTTCCTCGCTAAAATCTATGTGTTCGTCACCGCTCCTCCTTTCTAAGCCTCCGCCGCTCACACACCCACACCCACACCCCCCCCCCCAAACACACACAGCCTTTCATCCCTTCCCTGCTCGCGCTCGCTCACACGCAACACATTGCCAACGTGTCTTGACTCCCGTTTCCCGCAAGGACCCACGCCCCCCACCCCAAAAAAAAATAATAATAATAATGATGATGATGTGGTCGATCGACCCACCACTGTTTGTGGGGGGTGGGGGGGGGGGGGGAAACGTCGCTGTGCGCAATTGGCTGCTGGGTTTGGCCCACCGAAACACACAGTCACTCCACTTTACAGTGTATCCTGTGAAGCGGGTGGAGATGTCTCAATGACGTGATGAGGCTCCATATCAAATGTGAGGATTATCATTATTATTATTGTTATTATTACTATTATTATTATTTCACCGTGGACGCTTTCTCACTCTGTCGCGACCAGGATATATACTGATGTTTGTAAAGTAACTTAAATCTGTGCTGAGCTGAGCTGCCTTGTGTGTGTTGCTAAGTGTTTGGATTCTGTGCTGGGGGGGGGGGTTTGCAGGGGCAGAGGGTGGCGGTGGGGGTAGGGGGCGGTGGGGGAGAGCGTTGTGATTCCTTTCTTTACGATGGCTAACGGGGAACGAACCCGCAGTAATGATTTCACGGTGTCAGGGTTAGGTGTGTGTGGGATCGGGTGTCTGGGCACATGCAATTTTTTTTATATATTTAGTAAAAAGCCGTAGAGAAGACACGGAAGCCAGATGCCACCGAGAGAGTGAGAGAGAGAGTGAGAGAGCGAGTGTGCGAGCGATTGAGTGAATGTGCGAGCGAGCAAGAGCGTGCGGGCGAGCTAGCGAGAGCGAGTGAGCGAGCGTGCAAGTGAGAGGGAGTGTACCAGCGAGCGCGTGCGAGGCAGTGGGCAAGCCAAAGAGAGCGAGTGTACGAACGAGTGAGAGTCCAAAACAACAAACCCGTCGTTTTCTTTTAAAAAAAACAACACACACACACACACACGAGTGAACGTAGAGCGAATAGCGAATTTGCTCGCGGCAAATTGTCACGTGAAGCGAGTTGGAACCACCCCCGAAATGAAAGCCAATATATAATATATCAATCAGTATTTGTACAAACTCAGAAACGCTTAAAAAAAAAAGTATATAAACTGGAAACGTGTTGACTTTTTTGTTTTAAACTTGGCCAATGTCTAAGCTTTGTAAACTTATCCCATGGTGCTGAATATAACAGGAATTCTCTAGCCACTATTTTGTACTTTTTTATATATATATATATATATAAAACTAAATGGAGTGATATTTTACTTACAATTTCGAGCCCGATCTGTCTGGCAGCCAAAATTTACAGGTTTACACGTTTTCTTTCTAATTTGTTACCTTGAGACTATAATTGCTGCCGTAGTGAATGTTTACCCTGGTTTTAATGACTTAAGCTGTTAGCCGTGTAGTTTGTCTATCGTAACCGATTAAGGATGCCATTTTATACATCTCGAGAGCGAAATAAAGGAAGTCTTTGTATAAAAACCAGCGATTCAATTCTACAAAACGCACAGTCACTACACTTCACAGAAACTCCCCCAGGGGGGGCTTTGAGCGGTTTCAGTGGCGCAAAGAGGCGCCCTGTCAAACATTATTATTTCATGTGAACCTCGGGGGGATGCAGGAATACGGGAGAGTGGATGGGAGCAGGTCGCAACAACAACAACTTGCATTTACGCAGCACCTTTCACGTCGGGAGATCATCCCAAGGCCTCGGACAGTGAAGGGTCTGCACCCGAACAGTTGGGTGGGTGGGGGGGTAGGTGTCAAGAGCCTTGGAGGGCAAGCGGGAGGGTGGGAGGGTGACCAAAGATCAGATCAAAATCCCCAATGCTCCTCCTCCTTGTCCTCCTTTGGCCCTGTCCCTCTCCTGGACCCGCCCCTCTATTGACCCAGGTCCCACCCAGCCCATTGGGTGGTCTTGCTGTGATCACCATTGATTACCTGATGATTGGTCACTCAGCCATGGCCCCTGGTGGCTGGAGTTGATTAACCAGGTGAACCGGTCATCACAGGCTCCATCCACTGGTTAGAGAGGGCTGGAGATGACAAGGCCTGTGGAGACCCACCAGGAACTTACACGTTTCCTGGAACCATCACCCGGGACTGGAGGTAAGTGAGAAGCTAACGCCAGCTGAACACCAAGGTATGATTTAGAAGCTTTACAGCGCAGGGAGAGAGGCCATTCCTGTCTGTGCTGACTTTGGCTCTCCCTCCCCCAACCGATCCCATGAACCCATTCCCCTCGACCTCTCGCCGTATCCTTTCAACGTGACCTTATAACAGCAACACTGACTGTCGTGAGGGATGGAGTAGGGCCATTGGAGGTGGGATGGGGTGAGGATATGACCAGTCCCTAAATCGCAAGGTTACGGGTTGAAGCCCTCAGCCCTGGCTGACGCAGTTCTGGGGTGGGAGAGGTGGGGGTTGGTAAGGCCCAGCACGGCATTCTTGGGAGGAGACATTAAACCCGTCTGCCTGGTATGAGAGATTGCGTGGGTCAGGCCGTGCTTGTGGGGCCAGCGAGGCCCGCCCTGGAGTGAGGTGGATCTCCCAACCTCCTGTAAACAGAGGAAAGGGTGGGGGAGCGAGCTTGTCACCCACACTGATGGATCTTCACTTGATGAGGCCGTGTGTGCCAGGACACAGTCCTACCGTCTAATTTACGCACTCGAGCAGAAGTTTAAACATAAACAGTGAGAGGTTCAGCGAGGCTCCTGCTCACTAGGGCCGTGAGGAATACTTCCTTGTCATTATTCTGAGAGAGGTCGTTTTGGTTGCTCTTTAATAATAATAATAATAATAATTGTTGTGGAGTCCTGTAGGGTACCGGCTGGAGCACTCGCCTCGCACGCGAGAGGACCTGGGTTCGATTCCCGGTCGGGGTGAAAGATTAGGCAAGTCTTGTTACTCCACACGCCTCTGTTTATCCAGCAAAAATACTAATAGTAATTAATAATAATCATTGCACTTGGTTATAGCACCTTATCAAGTCGGAATCAAGTCTCAAAGTGCTTCACAAGATTTACTGTGAAGTGGAGTGACTGTGTATTTGTAGGCAAACATGACAGCACAATTGCGCACAGCGATGTTCCGCAAAGAGCCAGGCAGAAAATGGTTCGTTTCATACACCTTTACGGGTTTTGTACCGACGGTCGGGGTTTCTGTAAGGAAAATCTTCGCCCGAGCGGGCAATCAACCCTCCATCTTGCACGTCCGTAACTGCAAAACGTCGTACGTCGCTTCACAGGAAAATGCTGTCAAGCAGTAAAGTGACTACGAGCTTTTGTCGGCCAACGCGACCGCCAATTTGCACACAGCAACGTCCCGCAAACAGCCGTCGAAGCGAATGGCCAACTTTATCTGGGGTCGTTGGCCAGGACATTGGGAGCGAGAAATTCCCTTCTCTTTTCTAATAATAGTCCTGGCATCCACCACCTTCTGGTCCCAAACGTGAGCCGCAGAGAGAAAGAAACGGACACAATATTCGGTGCGCAAAGTCGCCTGTCGTGTTTGCGAGCGACCACAGGAGGGCACCTGAGCTTTGCGAACAGCTTGGAAGATGTTTGATAACTTCAGCGGAAATTTTATAACCCGAAAAGTTTCCTCATCTCGCGTTGTAACCCTAATAATAACAGTCATCGTCCTCGCGTTTGACCCGGCGCCCCATCGCGTCCTCGACACGTCTCAAAGGCGCTTCGCGGGATGCACTGTAAAGTGAATTGACTGTGCGTTTTGTGGGCGAAAGGCGGCAGCCGATCGCGCACACCAGCGGTGAGTGTCCCGCAAACAGTCGTGGATTGAGCGAAGGCATTTTTAAAACCTTAAGTGGAAAGGCCAGCTGCGGTCCTGAACAGTGGAGCTTTACAGCCACGTGCGTTACGCAGAGCTCTGTGTGAGCAAATCCTTTGGCTCTTGATAAAGCCATCGTTCTGCAGTGAGAGTGTGTGAGAGAGCGTGTGTGCAAGAGAGTGAGTGAGCGAGCGGAGTTTACTCTGGGGTTTGGCTTGAACAGGGTCCGACTGTGTCAATATTTGCCGCGAGGCTTTCCTGTGCTAATGGCCGCTCCCGTATCACAACCTTGTTCCGTTAAGTCAGCGTGGCTGATAAGAGATTGATGGAGGTGTGAAGTTGGTCAGATTGATACACTGCGGTGTCAATCCCAAAGCAAGGCTACGTGATTTATGGCGCTCGTTTGCAAAGTAAACTCCGAGAGAGCTTGTGTAATCAAGACGTGGAAATTAACCTTTTATTTGGGGGCAGTGGTGGAGGAGGCAAGGCCAGGGCTATTCCTCTGTCCATTAACAACAGTGCCCCCTTGTTCACCAGCTTCCTCTCGCTGGAGTGAGGTTTTTTGGCCTCTGCTGCCCACCTGAGTGCCTGCGGTTCGCGTCTAAACCTGGCCAACAAGTGTCGGCAAGCCAGTTGACCGTAGAGGGTGTCACGGCTCAGGTTTCCTTACTCCACACACACGCACACACACACACACACACATACTCGCCTCTGTTTACCTAACAGTAAGTGGGAACCCGGTTGTTGGTCGATTGGCGGATCGCTTTTCCGGGGGTAATAATCCCATCGAAAAATAATAATGATTTGGTCACTCAATCTATGACTGTTTGGGGGACGCTGCCGTGTTCAATTGTCCGCTGCATTTCACCCGCAAACCAACAATCAATTCACGTCACAATATATCTTGTGAAGTGCTTTGAGACGTCTCAACAACATGACAATGCGCTGTATAAAACACGAGGACTATTTTTGCAAAGATTACCGTCATTATTGTGACAGTGTTATTGTGTAGTTGTTTTATTGTTGTGTGTGAGTGTGTGGTGGGGGAGAGAGAGAGGGGAGTATGAGGCTAATCTGACATATTAAACACATGAACAACCACCAGTTGTCAGTCAAAATGCAATTTTTTTTAAAACTGTTCGAATAACTTTTTATCCCCCCCCCCCCCACCCCCCCACTCTCTCTCTCTCCTGAACCTCTGTATAAAGTGTGTTTCCTCTCTGGGTCTCGGGGTCAGAACAAAGACAGAGTTACTCTCACTCAGTGATATGGGGGACAGAAAGAAAATCAGGGTATGCCCTTCCTCTCCACAGTCGAAGCTGAGCTCAATTCACTTCCGCCTATTGAT